AATTACACAAATGATGGGCTAGCTAAACGAAGATAATGTTCCTTATCCTTTTTTGATTTTATGTAATGGTGGTGGTTTAGTATTTAAAGTAAATTTATTATAAAGTAAAAAGAAAAACACAAAAAATACATTTGCAATATTAAAACTCTGGCGAATCTCTTTATTATTTGAAACGGAAATAACTTATAAACTTTTTGAAAGTTTCCTGCTTATCTGAAAAAAAGTTTGCAATTTTTTCCTTTTTACATCCTGCTTGAAAATTCAAAGATTTTGTGACAAAAAAATCGTATTAAAGGCATTCTGTTACATTTTTAACAAACATGTTATGCCTTTAGCAATTAAAACATCCAGCAACCAACCACACATTGAACTCATATGTCAAGAACCTGCTTTTCCTCCCAACTGACATGCTTTTAATGCCGTTTAAGACTTATTTACTGGTACGACTATTGTGCGTTGGTGGACAGGAAAATTCTCCTGGCTGTTTGTCAGCTAGAACAGCTTTTCTTTCGACTGTTGGTTTCAGGGAAATTCTGTGCTTTAATGGCTAAACTTGCTTCTGGGAATCTTGTGTTCTTTACTTTTGTGTAGGCGACAGCAAGGATCGGCAATTAGAAACAATTTTCAGGCGTTAAATGGAAATTCTCGGTGAGCTAAGAAGAAGTTTAAAATTGGGTTTAAGGGCTTTTAGTACATTTAATAGGTGTTAAGTTATATAATTTTCAATTTGTTTTGATTAGATTATGAAAGCAAGTTGTACAAACAGTACAAATTAGTTAGTTTAAGCTAATAAGCGAAGAATTTGAACATAACTAGCTTAAATTACCAAAAACCTACCTCCGCAGCAAAATGCAATAAATAAGTTTGTTTTGCCTAATGAATTATGTTAAACTAATCACTGCAATAACTACTTAAAATTGTGCGTTTAATTATAAACAAATTGAAATACTTGACGCGTGAAATTTAAACCCATCATGCCCCAAAAACCCAACTGATTTGCTAATTAGATTTTTCAATGGTATTTAACCGCTTTTCTACTCACTCAAAAGCTGGTTAATGGTCAGCGGAGATAATTGAAAGAATAAATGTATCAATTATTTAAATTCGTATTTCACGAGATATAAATAAAGTGCAATTAACGTTTTTTAGATCAAATTAAAAATGAAATATGGTTTGAATGCGCGGTGAAAAAGTATAAAAATGCCAGACACTTCATTGGAAAATACCATTGTTAGTAACTAAAATTATCGGATGAGCGAGAATGGAAAATAAACAAGAAGTGGAAAACTGCCTGGCTCTTCAAATGCAAAATGTTGTTTTTTTTTTATTATTATTATTCATCCAAGGACTTATTGTCCCGTTCCCAAGCCAATGCTAATTAATAAACTTTACGCCGAGGTAGAAAGTTGAAACTGTTGAAAACTTATCGTCGGCACTGGTGTTCCCCTGCACGAGTGGTCTCAATTAATGGGATCTATGTAAATTGGCTTAATTTCAATTGACCAACTCGATTCCATGGTAGTTTCAGCTCCATGGACGTTAACAACAGCAACAGCAGCTGCCGAGGAAGCTGCTCTGTGAAACTGAAACTGGGAAACACTGATGGCGTTAAATCCCAAACAAATTATCTCAGACACGTTTCAGAATGCAAACAAGATGCCAGGAGAGACCCACACACTCTCATACTCACATCCGCCAGCTGAGCGATTAAAGTCTGATTTTGATTCTGGTAAAGTTCCAAGTAAATCCTGCAGCTCTAAGTGACGCTTTAAGGACAATTACCCCGGGCATTCGGCGAGGAACCCAAAGGCAAACGCAAACAAAATATAAAGACACGGGAAATAATTTGTAAGGATTTTTACAACAACTAAATTTAGATGATTTTTTGCATAATAAAATAGTTAAGATAAAGTAAAGCTATCAAAAATCTTTTAGATTTGGTTTTTTGATTTTTAGAAATAGTTTGGCATGCAGTTTTCCCCCAGTGCAATTCTCCAAGGAAGGGTGTCGAATCCTGAACAGATCCGGAGACAGGGTCTTGGATGGGTTCATGCTCATGCTCAACGCTCCATGTCCATGTCCATGGTCAAGGCTGCACGGTTTATTGTTTTGGCTGCTGCAATTGAGCGAAATATTTCGAGTTATTTTTGGCTCTCGACTTGTGGCGCAGCTAATCTTGAGTTGTCTGCTTTTGGGGATTGCGAGTTTTGTTTTGTTTGTCTCTGGCAAAAATACAAAAAAAAAGAAAAGAAAAATGGGGTAGAAATGGGAGAGGGGAAGCCAGCTTCAAGGGCTTCAAGTACATCGAGTACATCGAGGCCATAAAGCAAACACTTTTAGTTTGTTGAACTGTGACCGGGCGGGGGTCTCGGGGCCTCTAATTCGTTGTCAAAAACTGCCAGTGCCAGCTGTTGACTGCCGCTTGGATTTTAAACTGTCCCCTTCAGCTTTTTGGCCCTCTTGTTATTTTAATTTGCCTCATTGTTCTGCGGCGAGAGACAGATGCTGAGAATATTACAGCAGAATATACTATATATATATATAGATATAGGCACTCTGCACATCAAGGATAACCAGTTTTCCACCACGACTCGCATTTAATTAAAATTTCTGCCATGACATGGCACAACATTTAAGTGTAAATCGGTTATGCACCACGACAATCCGACTGAGCCGCAACACACAGCAATACTGACTGCCTGACTGATACACACACAGAAAATAATATTTATTTGTCATATATCGAACAGTAAGAGGAGCAAGAGTTGACCCCATGGCAATGCCAACAAAAGAATCAATTGGGTTCATCGGAACACAGACGTCCGCTCGAGGATTGTGGTGCCAGGGCACAATAAATAAACACATAAGTCGCCCATGAAGTGTGTCCTTTGGAGCGTGTTTACACAACTTTAATTGAAGCCCATAACAAGGATACTCGAGCTGTTTTCCACAATAATACCTAGTCGTTTGGCCGACCGACCGCATTTTTGTGTAAATTTTTAATTGAACGGCAACTGAAAGCGTTTTGCACGTTCTAATTTGTTTGGCATGTGTAACTTTAGAAACAGGCATTTGAACAATAGAGGGGGTTATTTTTCTTTCAGCACTGGTCGAAAAAAGAGTTAAATAGTTTCGTTATTACGCTATTCTTAATATTACTTAACCTGTGTATGTTAAACTAGTCGTATACTCAATATTTTAAGCCATACCAATGATGATGATTTTCCAAATATTTTATATTCCCAGCCCTCAAGTAATCTTTTTTCTTCAGTGTCCGCCTCCCTGTGATCCTGGGGTGAACCCAGTGATGGGTTCAAAGCAACTCGGCTCGGCTTTTGTCCGGCTCTTTGCTGGCTCGTTAGGTGCAGACAAGGACCAGCAGAGAATGACCGGATAGCATGCATGTGTGGGCGCTTCGGCTTTAAAATCTCGACATGGACATGGACATCCACATGGATATGGCCACTCAGGATCCAAGAGACCAAAAGACCGAGTTATTTGTTGTTGTTCTTTCCCCAGCTCTAATAGATGAGAACAAAAAATGAATTTGCCGCTTTGAAAAGTGAAAGTTTGTCGCTCATAAACTGGAAGAGTAATCTAAAATGTCTGCGCGTAATGACCGGGACAATATGCGAGCTGCTTCGCCGGAATTATTAAAGTTCGAGCACGGGAAAAGAAACCAAAAAAAAAAAAAAATACGGAGAACTCTTCATCTTCGTCAAAGGGAGCTTTGTGCGAGCTGTTGGCCGTTAAACTGGTTGTCTAGACCGTAAGTAAATTTATGGCTCTGATTAATATCTTTATTGTGTCAGATTATGATTGACTAGGCGGCAGGCCGCAGGATTTATTGATGGAGGAGGAACATCTCAGCCAGCATCCTGGCCCGACTAAGAGCTACTCACAAAAGAATCTCCATCTCCGATGATGATGAATGAGGAGGCGGGTTCATAGTGGCTCCAAAAGGCAAGCCCTTTGTTACGAGGTTTCCTGCCAATAGGCGGTATAAAATTACATGTGGTCCTTGGCTAAGCGATATTCAATGGGTAAATATCCATTTGATATATGAGCTGAAACCACACGACAACTTCAATCCCTCTAACCAAAAATGCCTCAAAAAACACACACACATTTCATTAGCCAGGTGAAGAGGCGACAAGTTGGGTTTGAATTTTTCAGGACTTGACTTGGCTTCGTCTTGAATTTATTTGCCAGCTTTCAAATAGCCATTAATAATTCTGTTTTGGCCATAATGTCAGATGGAACTCTACAGCTCTCTCTCTCTTAAATTTTGTATTCCAGTTTTAAGTTGATTTGTGGTACAATTTCGCACTCTCCATTCTCTCCACGTGCCAATTCACAGCAGGATAAGCCCACTCCTTGAACATTCGTTTCAATCCGGACTTCCTAGCCTACAAAGCCCCCTTGACTAATGGACCTCCGACACTTGGCCAGGTGCAAACTGAAACGACTTTGTTGCCAGTTGCATGTACCAAGAGGCAACTTGAGATTTACACTCAGAGAAAATGTGTATTCATTTAAAATGGGTTTCCCGTATGCAAAATCAATATATAAAGATGTATATTTGGGAGAAATTTTTGAAAAGTCATTGCTAAACGCTTTTGCCTTGCTTGTTCAGCTCAACAATAAAATTTAAATTGGTTGATTGTCATTCAATTTTGTTTGTTTTCCTTTTCAAACGATTAGTTTTTCAGTGGGAAATAAGAGAATGCTCGGGAAATCTGTTGGAAAAATGTCGCAAAAAGCACGAACAGATTGCTTGGAGACACTGCACCTGGAAGAGCCGAGATGTTGCCTGTTTTTTCTGATTTTCCGATATTCCCTTTAAACCTCCATGACCCCTCTCAGATAACCCATGACAGCAACTTGGAATGCAGATGGAGGTGAATGTTACTGGCATGCATTGTGCTGATAAAAAGAAGAAAAGAACAAAGTTGAAAAGGATTTTGCTGTAATGTTGGCAACATTCTTTATTTATTCACATTATTTTGCTGGTAGCTCAACACTTAACACTTAATTTATGACTGCGATGCGGTTGGCATCGCAAAAAAAAGTTGCAGGCGTGTATATATACATATATATTCGTCACGATACTTTGTTGCCTCATTATCCTGGCTTTAGGCCACTCGCATAAATCGTCTGGACCTTGCCCATTCGTTCTATTTGGTTTTTATGGCCAGACAAAATTTGCATGCAAATCGTTAGATTTCTTCTGGCTTATTTACAGATCGAAAAGTTTATTGCGCTAACTAAACAATGCCTAACTAAGCATAGCTCTAGTTATCTAGCCAGCACTGGAATCACTGGGATTTGGGTGAACCATAGGTCAAGCCATCGCTGGTGGGATCCTCGGTTTTTTGCCTTCGCTTTCGCCACGGAAATTTCCTCGAACTTCGACCTGCAACAGATGCCGATTGACAAGTCTCCGGATCCGGTAGACTATGACTGCCACAAAAAGGCGGTACGGTGGTGCTCGTTACCTCATCCCTTCGACTTATCACCCTCGTCAGTTTGAGACGAGTGGCAGGTTGACCGACTTCCGATGGGTCAGCATTTTGAGATGGTGTCACCAGCAGAGCACCACTTTTGGTCGCCAAAAGAGCCCGTTTAGCCCGACCGGAAGTGTAGTGTCTGTCCACCACTTCTGCCTCCAGAAGCGAGTTGGCATCGCCCAGCGAAGAGAGTTGGGACACCTGGGCCTGCAGCATACGATGTGGAACTGCAGTGCCCGGAACAGGGCCATAGAACTCCTGTTTTCGCAGACGACGCCCTCCTCCACCACCACCGCCCCCAACTCCATTTCCTGCGGCCAAGCTGTTGCTGTTAATCGTTGTGGTGGTGGTGGTGGTGCGAATGCTATCCTGCAAGGATAACTGATGACTGGCATCCCGGCAACGGAACTGCACCACTCGATAGGATCCATAGGGTTCCAGGGCATTGTTGTTGACACTGCAACTGGCGGGTTGGAGGCGCATCGATCCATTTTGCCGAAGGAGGGCACTGTAATTGTGTTGGTGGTGCTGACTCTGCTGGTGGTGGTGGTTCCTGGCCAAACCAAACTGTCTAGTAAGAGTGATCTACAGGAAAAGGAAGATATATATATATAAAGTAGAAAAGATTTTTAGACAAAGAAAGGAAATAAAGAACCATTAAAGTAGGGTAAAAGACCCTACTATAAACCCCATAAATATTAAATTTAAGAAAGGGTTAAAGTAAGGTGAGGATTTCAATCCTAGGCTCACCTTGAAGGCCTCGCGGAACTTGTGACTCATGATGTTGTACAGCAGTGGGTTGATGCAAGTTGAGAGGAAGTAGAGCACTCCGGACGTGTAATCAAGTATCCGGAAGTAATCGTTGAAGGCGTCCCGGCTGATGCCTATATTAATCAGATTCAGTCCGTAAACGGCCATCAGTCGCTGGGCATGGAAGGGAGCCCAGCAGAGGAAGAAGGCGACGGCTACAGCTACTGCAAATACGGGTAAGGATAAAGAAGGCATTAAGTATCCGGAAAAACTTGCCAACAAGAAATGGGCACCTTTATCTATTTTTATCCCTTGAAATCGAATAGTTTGGGCAATCATTAAATTGGAGAGCTTTATATTTAGATAAAAATAAAGGCTTTTCCTGCTGCCCAGCGATAAATAATATTGTAATATAACTACAGGCCGAGAATGAGAGTTCGTGCCTTTGATTCTGTTTGCCCTCCTGTAGACCAAATTAATTTATTATTAAGGCTCGGGGCTTAAACTGAGCTGGCCCATGAATTTCCATTTAGTAGACCAATGGCAATGGTAAACTTCAGAATCAATGGGCTGTGGATTTCCAGTTAAAAGCTGCAACAAATTGAGGGTCGTTTCCTAGCCTTTAATGGAAAACTGCTCTTTGGATTTTGAAACTGCCTGAACTCTGCCTGAGCTACACCAAAAAAAAATAATATTTGTATATATTAAGATAATATAAAATATATTTTATGGATCATTGACTTAGTAAATTGACTTTTATTAAAAATATATTAAATATAAAATTTCCAAATATCTGTTATAAGGTAAGATATGATATATTTTGTAATGAAAACATTCTTTAAATATTGCTTTTAAAAAGCTACCTATTTTTCAATTATTTAAGATACATACACCCTTTGATCCCCTGCTCTTTTAAGTGCCCCGACTTGATTACTTTCAACGTGCCACCTGGCTTCACCTTTGCCTCATTTGCTAGATGGCCATTTAAAAGCTTTTCACCTACTCGTACACCGATGCTCGCGAAAAATTAACGATACCGCTGGAAAAACAGAAGCACATTCAACCCACATATGACGCAAGTGCAAATGAAAAGGTGGGCGTAAAATAATGAAGGCGGGGCCATGACGAATCCCCACTTTTTTTTTGATGTCGCCAACGCAAATATGTTGACAGTAATTTTCAATTTAAGACTTTCGGCGGAAAAAGTTTTGACAGCCAGCGATGTTTTGTTGGCGGTGGGGGTCATGTTGCTGTCTTTAATCAATCAAGCCGCCAACTCAACTCACCTACCCAACATTCTGATGACTCGTCCCTGGGCATTAAGACCCCGATTGGCATCATAGGTCCTCCGAGGCAGGGATTGCAGAAGACGACTCCTCTTCAATTTTACGCCGATAAGCACGTAGAGTACACAAATCGCCGTCATCGGGCCACCGAAGAAAATAAATCCCGAGACGGCGAACACATGGGCATAAAAGTCGTTCTCCATCTGTAAGAATGAAAGTGAAAGGGACACTCTGTGATGTGGCAGTTGAATTTTACATTTACAGTTCACCCACCGTGCAGGAGTATCCATCGTTCTGGTAGACCACCGAAAATTGCATGGCCTGCGGCAGGGCCAAGAGAAAGGCCGCCAGCCAAATGGCAAATATAAATTTAATGGCCCGCGACAATTTTGACATGGTGTGCTGCCTACAAATGACGGAAAGATTAGGCTACATTATATGTTAAGTATTAAAGAAAAGTTGATGTAAATGTTAAGGTTAAGCTTGGGCAGATATGAGATGAAAAATACTATGGCCGTTAAAGTCTATCCTCTGTCCATCTCTCTCTCTTTTCTTGCAGTCATCTCAATTTCGTTTTAAGTATTAAATTCAACATAAATATTTACTTCAAATGTGGGTGTGTAAACTGGAAGAAACACAAATACTTCTAAGGAAAATATTTATAGGCCTAACTTTTAACTTCCTTTTGAAAATTGATAGCAGCGATTAGATTGTGAAATACTAAACCTATTTTTAGACAAATGCTAAAAGGCAAAACGTGTGAAAATATAACTTTGAAAAGGATAAATTTATATCAGAGGGATTGCTGTTTATGCTTAAAGCCAAGAAATTCTTTAAAAAGGTTTAGATTAAGGATTATTCTAGTTTTATATCCTTCTTTAATAAGGACAAACATTCCTCATTTTATAAAAACCAAAGGAAAATCTTAAAAGCAAATCAAATAAGTTTTAGATTAAAATCCCTTTTTGATGCTAAGCACAGTTTCATCAAACTTAATATGACAAAGGAAACGAAAAATATTTCAACAATAATATTTAAACCCAAGTTTAGGGAATAAGAAACTTTTTCCCTTAACTTTATAATCAGGTTTGGAATGCCTCTTTAGTCAACCCAACCTTTCATGTCTGGCTATTTCTAAGGACCTACTACCAGTGATTCTATTCATATTCATTTATTTTGCAAATTTTAAGAAAATTTCTAAAGTTAGTTGGATACACAAATTGTGTATAAAGAAAGCATATTCCACAAGGAAATTCTGGAAAATTGAATATGAGTTTTCCGAGAAGGCATACCCAAAAAAGTAATGAATGAAATCTACACATTTCCTTTTTTATGAAAGCAACATTTAATGTTATTGAAAAGGGCAAAAAAGAATTTAAGTCGCAACTTAAAGAGTATCAAATCAAAGCAAAAGGTTTTCCCCTTACTACCCTTTAATTACAAGTTAATTACACAGTTTTCCATTGAACGTAGCTTAGTGGAACTGACTATTAATTAGTGTCAATAAATAAAGGGTAATGGGCTCACTGGAATATCTAAAAACGACGTAAATGTTGTTGTCAAGCCTGACTTATTTTATCACTTCACATCGGCAGTGTTAAATTATGAATAATTATTAATGCTGTACTTTTTGGGGAATGATTTCATTGCGTTTGTGACTGACGCTTATCAAGTTTCGTTTATCTATTTATGGTCTTGTCCTATTTATACGTGATCCACTTTGTTAATGAAAGCGGACTAAGAGCACTGTAAAAAATCGGATTGCAAATAAGAAAAACCTATAAGAATACCTATAAAAGTAATATTTAACCAATCAAAGTAATCAATAGATATGCTTAGATGATATGCTGATGATAAAATGTTCTAGTAATCATTGAAAACTCACCGAAATGGATGACAGATGGCTATATAACGCTCTACAGTAAAAGCGGTGATAGTGAGAACTGTTGCATTGGCTGCCATTTCCGAAAGAACACTGCCCATGATGCACATGGCGTCCGTGAAGGGATACATATCTGGATACCACAGATTGTATAGCTCCTGGGGAATGCCTGGAGTGAAGTTATCATATTAAGCATACGTCCGATTGTCCCACAAAGCTTAGGAGCTTACCTGACACCAAGAGTATTAAATCAGAAACGGCCAAGTTAAACAGATAGAAATTGGTGGCCGTGTGCATAAAGTTATTACGCGAAATCACAATGCAGGTGATAAGATTACCCAGAACACCGGCAACAAAAATGAGGGCATAACACACGGTGAAGGCGGTACGCAGGGTCAGGGACTCGTCAACGGGCGAATCCGATGCCATTGTGCTCGCATTTGTGCCATTCGTGGAGCCCAGGAGATTTGAAAGATTCTCGGTCGTTATGTTCAGCAGATGGGCGACATGTGTTAAGAATTTGTCATTCTTCAGCAGCAACAGCTCGGGGCTCTCGCTGGGATTCGTCGGCATCGTAGTGGTGGCGATGGCGATGGAGGCGGAACTCTGATTGGGACTGGGCGACACATGAGCCATGAATGATTGATTGAGGCCATCATCGTTGCTGTCGTTGGCGATGGTGATGGCGACGCCCTGCAACATGCTAGCTGTCGTCGATTAATTGCGGACTCGATCCGAGGGCCCGAACCCACTCGCCGCTTTATCCAAATCCCCAATATAGTAGAAGAGAAAGGAAAACAAAACCAAATCGGTCGCCCACTCGATTCAATGCGTTATTAATACTGTCTGGCGTATCCTTTGCGGCTGCGGTGGCACATGGCCGATAAGCAGTCGACGACAGGCCCAAAAATTGTGCACTCGCCTGTGAAGCAAACAACATTAAAAGTCATTAGACTCAAGAATAAATTTAAATTCAATCCTCAGTCCAGGATGACGTAACATTTTGATGTGTTCGACATCAGGTGATGAAATGACTTGACTAGGGAAACTGCGTTCTAATTCCGATATAAAAACAGTTTACTACTGCTATTTTACTATTTGCCTTTTGGCTCTGTTACTTGTGAACATTTGGTGATGAGGTACAGAGGAAAAATCAAATCAAAGCTGGTTCAGAATATTTCTACTTTTATCTTTCACTTTTTTACACTTTTTTATATTAATCTGCACTTTGTTATTTGTATTTCAAATTTCAAACCATATGTCATGGAAACTAATAGAGCTATACTCGTTTTCAATAAAACAACTTTGTAATGTAATTTAAATATAATTTTATATGACATATTCTTTCTCTGTATACCACATGTCACTTGCCACTTGGCTCTATTAATAGTAAACATCTTAAGCCTTGGCAATACAGATTGCTGGCAATCAATACAAATATAGTTGTGTAGATGAAAAAGTTTTTCTATTTGCTTGGTCTTAGCAGTGTTGAGTGAAACGAAACCTGATTGCTTGGGTGGGAAAGTTTTTCGTGGTCTGGGAAAAAGGGCAACTTTTGCCACCTTCGACTGTCATTTAGGTTCCATTAGGGATCCCAGCACACACACATGTGGGGCTTTAAAGATGCCCCAAGAAAAAAAACGTACATGGTGGGGTAATATTTCACTCATTATGCTGCCAACATGTTTTCAATGTGAGTTTCCCTTGCTGCCAAAAATCACCACATTTCTGGGGTTAGAAGTCAAAAGGCCAAAGTCAAAGTAGGGGAACACCAAGTCACTGTTAATGCCAAGTTGGATTATTGGCTTTGAGCCAGATTTTCGGTTGATGTGTCTAATTAATTATGTTTCCGGTAAGTTAAGCGTTTTTCCTACAAAAGAGAAAAAACTAGCAAAGAGGTGTTTAAAAAAAACCCTAAAAAGTATGCTACGCACACGTAGGGCCCACCACGAATCTCGAGAGGTCAGCCACACCATGAAATCTTATTGACGCAAACTAATTGGAAAAATAATTGAATTGCCAGGTGAGGTGTGAAAGTTGATTTAGATATGATTGGGCAGAAACCAAGAGCTTGGTGTCCACCTGACTCTCAGACTGTGTACAAATGTTAGTCTTCGATCGCAATTATACAATCCAATCAGCCAAAGCAATGCCACGCGGACCATATTAGGGTTTTGAAATTCAATTTCAGTTGGATGCCAAGTTTAAACCGCAATCTAGCTGCATTGCCCAGGTGGCCCAGGCTGCCTTAACGTTTTTCAATTAAACTTTGCGGCTGCCAAAGGTAAGCAAAAAGTCAGAAAAATTGAGTTTTTCAAATTCTGAGAAGCAACAAAATTGAGTCCTGAGTAAATGGCGCATCGACATGTTGATTCTTACCAAGGCTAGATTAAATAACAAAAGCGTATTTGCTTTTGCTCCGCGTATTGTATATTGTATCCTTCTTTGTAGTCAAGTCGTATCCTTTTATTCCGTTTCTCTGTCTCACAAGGTGAGTGTATCCTTTTTATTTTTGTATTTTTTTTGTTGTTTTGCTATGAGACGTATCAGGACTTCCGCGTGGGATTTCTTAACCCTTTTGCTTTTGGTAAAACGGAATCAACGAACGGAAAATTAGTTTTGCACTTTGTTGCGGACTCTTTGATGCATATTTAATTAGTTGCAAATTGCTGGAGGATTTTTTAGGGTTAAATTCTAATTAATTTATTTGATATATTGAATAATTTTAAAACACTTTATATATTTGGAATATATTTTAAATATTTTCCTTTGTTAAGCACTTTTCAAATATATATTTTTTTAAATTTTAATCACTTTAACGGATATTTTTGGTAGGAATATATGTTTTTGGTGATGAATTTATCTAAGCTCACACACATCCGAAGTGGAGGAAAGTCGGTGACAGACTGAGTTGCCTTGCGGCAATCGAAGCACTTGTCGACGGCTTCTGTTAGCCAAATGTTAACTAACAGCAGTTCTTTTGGCCTTTTGGCTCTCTAAAAGCGTTTGGCGCTCTTCTCCTTTGTATGGAGGTACGCAAACATTTGGTCTTAATTTCATTCATAAATTCATGCACTTCACCTTGACTCGGTCTTGTGCACCCGCCTCCTTCCCCTTGATTTATGTCTTACTTGTCGGATGAGTAATGTCACCGGCAGCCGGTTATAGAACGTGGCCATAAGCGGCAGTCGATCCAATTGAATGGCAAATTGTGCGCGGCTAATTGAAATTGCAAATGGCCCAAAGGCACTAGTACTTACTTTTAATATTTATTAGCCAAAAGGCCCGCCTGTCTCAATTGTTTCTCTCTATTGACCTTAGAGCAAGCGAAGTAAACGAGAAATCAAAGCCGTTTGTACATCATAAACTTGGTTAATAAATGTGTTTGTTTTGCAGGACATGAGGCTTGATTTCCCCTTCTTACCCTTCAGTCCAGGAAAACCGCATATTAATGTCGGCCCTTGTCCGCAGATTTGTGGATTTGTTTTCATTATTCTCCTCCCTTCTGGTTTCAGGTTACGCCTTGGGCTCTGGCATTCAATTGAGGCGGCATGTTGTTCTGGTCTTAAAGATATTTATTTTGTGGGTGGGAAAGGCGCTGATTCACTCAAGAGTTTTCAGTACAATTTGGCATGGTTCTCTGGTCGCGGTAAATATGCACAGTTGCTGGAGCGTGACCACAATCTGGGTTTTCGGGGCTCGCTAAGGAGCCCTTGGATATTAAGGAAATGCCAGCGCGTGCCGGCAAAGATTTTATGTCGTAATTCTTCTTACACGAGTAGCCACAATCAAAATTTAACCGCACGAATTTGGGTTTTCTGTATCTCTAACTTGGACATTAAAGGTTCAAAGAGATACGCGAAAATTAAAGATTTTTATCTTTATATTTTACTGAGTCTCAGTTAATTATTCATCTTCTGTTAGTCATAGAAGTTTCTTACTTTCCCTGCCTTTAACTACATATTTTCATCGAATCAAACTGAATTACTTTTTCTTCCTGTGCACCAATCACATCGCCAACAGATTTCACGTTTCCACACACTTTGATCCGGCGTAAATACGATTAAACGCGCGTTAAATTAATGTTGCCCCAAATAATCACTGTCCACAATGTGAAAGTCGATTCCCTGAATTAATTCATGAGCTGTGGCGTAAATAATGAATGCGTAAGGACAATCAATATTAGTGCTACCACAACTGACCTTTACAAATTACGTATACGCCATGTTAGCCGGGCAGTTAATATGCCTCTGTGTGTGTTTATGTTTGTCTGTGATTCCGAATGATTCAATTGGCCAGTAGATGATGCTGATTAGCATAATGCCTTCTGCCACACACATGTAGAACACCCGCAGAGGTAGAGACAAAGGAACTTCCAGATCCTAATCGAAAAGGGTCGACCGCAGCTTTGAGAGCCCAGCAGTTGGTCCATGTTCTTCTTCATCTGGTCTTGATTTACGACTGCAATTGGGTAAAAGGACAATGATTATGTCCTGGCCACAACCAGAGCCACTGATTAGTCTGTCGAGAACTGTCGTTGATGAACGATGCCGAAATGAGGACGCTGCAAATGCCGCTTTAAGCGCTTTTAAATGCGTCATGTTATTTTAGAATGGGGCTAATTAAGTGCAATTAAACTAAATGCAGAAGTCCTTGGCCTTTGTGGTTTCAAGAAGCCAAGAACATTGAACTATGGCCCAGAACGAAAGTATCCCTTTACATACTATAAACGAGTAGTTTATACTGAGAGCTGAGAAGCCCACGCTTTCAGCTCAACTCGCATTACTCATACAACCCGTTGGCCAAGGTTTATGGGAAGTGCGGTACATTCATGTTGGGAAATTGGGCATCTTGGCTGGCATTGGCATGCCGATGAGGGCAATTGCCGGGCTTTTAACCAAATGAACCCCAGCCAACACGCACACCTCTTCATTATTTTTTTTTTTAGGGTTTCCGTTGGGAATTCAATTATTTGAAAGGCTTTGCAGTGCATGTGGAAGTTTAACTCCATTTGGCCAATCAAAGGTCACAATTAGCCACGAGCTCTGAAATTTTGTCAACGACTTGTTGAGCGCGTGATATAGTTCAATAAATTGGTGCCGCTAAACAAGGTAAGCTGAAGCTTGGCGAAATTTTAATACTCTTATTATGATATTCTTAAAGCTAAGAAAAATATTTACTGAAATCTGAAAAGAGTGAGTTTATAATGCAAAGTACTAAAATCAAATCGTCAGAGGATTAGTCATAGATTTACTGAGGGCACTGATTGATGTCTGCACTCATTCAGTTAGCATAAAAATAAACATAAAATCATGAAGCTATAAGTAATAAAATATCAAATGACTTTGGCTTATTTTCGATATCATTTTTTACCAGAGTATGTATTACGATCGAACTAAAAAAGGCGACTGTTAAGTTAAATTAAGAAACATGTAAATGAAAACAACATAGAAAAATGTAAAAGATTAAACTAAATTAAAATTATATTAAATGAAATTATAAGTAAAGTATTTTTTAATAACATCTTATATATATCCTAAAGCCGCAGAATAATAAATGAGTTTATTTAAAATATATTTGAAGCTTTTGAGCTCATGTTCACTATCTTGTCCCGCCAGACGGCTTTCATATTTTATTTAGTATAAAGCCCCAACTCTAATATAATATTGCCAGTACTTAGGTAAAAGTTAGGGAAAGTGGCAACGGGTTGGTCGAACTGCAAATGACTTTCGGCTTGCCCTTTCTGCGTGCAATAAAACTAAATGAATTGGAAACTTGCACAAAAATTCAACTAAAATGCTGACGAAGATGCCGCCATCGCCCGATGACAGAGTCCTGTTGGGCAAAAGGCAAAAACTTCAAAATGCCAAACAAGAAGCCCCGATGTCTCTGATGTCATGCCCAATGTTCATAGAGAGCAAAGCAAACGGAAAATCTTTCCCCCAATTTTCCCCAACTCCCTTGGATCTTTATTTTTCTTCTTGCAGGGCTTTCGTCAACAATTGGCAGCCAAAGTTTTGACTGGGAATGCCTTGTGCAGCACGTGCTGCGAATTTTCCCAACCTTTGAGCTTCATGAGACACTCGTTCAAGAGATTAAGATGGAAATGGAGAAGGGCCCCTTGACAAAAAAAGGCGAACGTAGGGCCTCCCTCTCCTTTGAACTTACACTGTTTGTTTAGGACTTTGTTTTGATTAAGTGCCAAAAAATTGTTTCGTATTATTTGCATAAAAATTGAGAAATTGAATGCATGCAATGGCATTTGATTTGTTTGCCTCGCCAATTCGATTTTCTATGTCCCTCATATAACACATCGCATACAAATGGATACGGCAACATTTGTTGGCTCTTAATATCGCACTAGCCGCTGGGATAGGAAAATACTGGTATACATTTTATGAGCCGCAAAGCTCTGATAGATTTGCCAGCACATGGTCATAAAAGTTGGGCCCCGGGCGACTAATAAAATCTCCCTTTGACTGATCATAAAACCACGGCATCATGTCCAATTTCGTGGCCCGATAGCTGGGGCTCAACGGCGCACAAAGTGGTTTCACAAATTAATTTTAAGCAATTTAGTTGTCCTTGTTGGTGGATGTTCCAGGAACAAAGACACTATATACAGAAAAATGCAATAAAATTTGTTGTTTACGGGCTATATTGATGTTCCAGGAAATAAGTCAAGGGATTAGATAAAAATGTGTAAAATGAGTTGGCAAAATTGAATATATAATTTGCTCTAAAGTTTTCTTCAGTTTTTTAAAGGTAACCATAACTTAAATACTTTTTCCTTCCCTTATATACAGAACGGAGATGGCCATTCACAATTGCCAGCGGAAACTGAGTTAATTTTTATAAATTTCTGTTATTATTCCTTGAGTGGCCACTTCACCTTTCCCCCTCTTTTCGCCTTGACTCAAATTAATTGTGTTTGTGGATTGACTTGAACAGTTTAAGTGGACGTCAAGGTCACCATTTGCATTGTCCTTTGGCACTGTTAACATAATAATCAAACAATTTGCCGCCCTAGCCAAATTAATACGCCACTAAATAAGATAAAGTGCATGGTCCTACAGTATTATTTGCATTTTTATTACCCCTTGGCCGGGGGAACCCTTCATATAAGACTGAACAGACCCGAAAGCGCCGTCGCAGAGAGTCCGAAAAAAGCAACCGGTAGTTGCCGTTCGCTGTCGACGTCTCTGTTGCGTCGCTGTTAACGACAATGGCCCGAACGGCCTTTGTTGCCAAGATTTTTTTGGCCAAAATCCCAGTCAATCGGATGCTGCGGCCCGTTGCTGTAGCCGCCGTCGTCGTCGCTCTCGAGATTATTTCTTTGGGATTTGAGTATTTTTTCGGTTATCTTCCGAACGGCGAAGTAAAAACGAGAAAACGGGAAAACCATCAATTTACGCGTGCCCCTCAAGTCATAATTTTTCGGTTCGGAGAATCATTTTGCGTACCAGAATTAATCAGTGCCATACGCAAATAGTTAAAACCATTAATTGTGAGTGTTGGTGTGCGTGTTTGAAATTAAGCCCAGCGTCTCGTGGTCATTAATCAGCGTTTAGCACATGGTAAAAACTGATTAGCTAAAATGTAATAAAATATTACCAAAAATAAACAACAAAATACCAGGGAAAGTGAGTGAAAGACAGGAGAGGGGCTGAGAGAGTTTGTTTAGTATAAAGTGCAATGTGCTCGCAAATGAGAATACAAAATAAAGTGACAAAATCAAAACAGTTCAAAGTCATAAAAAATAAATGCATTCCGTAAAATGTGGCAGGCATCGTTTGATAAATTTAAATTAAACGTGTTTTAAATGCACAAGCAGAGAGTCGAAAAAAAAAGATAATTAATTGCCATTAGGCGGAATGAAAAGCCCCCTTAAACAGGAGCGCTGAAACAAAGTTGTAAACAAGTTGGAAATAAATATGGCATTATCGGGGCCTCAAGATCTCCAGATTGCCAGTGGAATCCATTGACCCGAAACACTAATGGTGCAGAATCTATAATAGTTTATTAAGCCATATGCAAAGCGATTTGGCAAAAAATGGAAAATAATAATAAACCAAATACAAAACTAACACTTTATGGGCATGGGCGGGTGCATAATTATCGGTGGGATGCTATATGGTCGATCATCGGACATCAGACACATTGGAAACCGAAACGAAAACAGAAAAAATGATAAAAATGAAAACCAGTTTGATTGAATATACAATATAATAAAACCAAATTCGACAGCATTCTTTGGCCGTGCATATATTGTAGAAACTTTTTTATGATAATGATAATGAAAACGGCCAAAAACGGTCAGCAGCGGTCAGCGAAAAACAACAACAACGAAATATAGTCACAATGTGAATAAAACAGCCGCAAAAACAATCACACACACACACAAACTCATCTTCTCAAGTGGAATAAAACTAAGTTAATATTATTAAGTCACCCGGTGTCCATTGGGATATTCTTTATCATCTGCCCCTCCAGACTGTACCTTGAGTTTCGGGCGCGTTTAATTTGTTTGCCACCAGGTGTTGTCTTTGAGGGGAGGAGAGATGTTTCCTTAGCCTTGTCGTAACATCCTTAAATTCACTGTACACAAATATTTTGACTAAATGCCACTTAGCAATTCAAATTAATTTTCAGCCTCCTTTTGCCCTGTGCCTGGTCTTTTGCCTAGGACACGACTGACTGCCGCCTGCCAGTTTCTCAGGATGCCAGGTAAACAGGACACGAACATACTTTGAGACACATACTCTGGGGTGGACCTTAACAAGCTGAAAAGTTGGGCAAAGTTCAAGTTCAAAACTTAAATGGTGCCCATTACTCATGCAAATTTATTAAACTAGGCTGAACTCTAAGTAAATTAGTCACTTAAACATTCATTTAGCAGGTTATATATTATATAAAAATATAACTAATTGCTTTTAAATGGCGAATTATTTTCAAATTCCTATTGAGCTATAACTATTTTTTATTGTATATTTTTGGAACATTTTGAAATGCACACTTTAATGGCGAAATATCAGCAGCTTAAATAAATTTACTTGACTTTTGGTAAATAAACATCAGATATTTTATCCCAGTAACTCCTAAAGAATAACTTTTACTGCAGCCTAATTAAACCAATTTTATTCAAAAGCAGACTCTTTAATATAAGTAAAATAAAAAGTTGAATTTAAGCAGACTATTTGAAAGCATTTTATAAAACTGGAACCACTTATTTTTAGGATATAAACAAACAATAGAATTGTCAAGAAAATGTAAACATTTATATTCCATGTCGATTGCTGGTCTGCAGAAAACTATGCAAATTCTTTTTTTATTACAATCAGTTAAAAACTCTTTGAATAAATTTCAAATTTTATTATGCAGCCATTTTGTTTCTAGTAAAAATGAGTTTATAGAACATTTGTAAATAAGGTCCATCCCATAGCTCACATCCCTACACAATTTTTAATCCTACACTCATGACAACAGATTGTAAGTGGAGTGGCACTGGCCTAAGTCGAAATTGATGAGCCCCCGTAAGGGGCATTATGAAAGCATTATTCGGAATACATAAGACGGGACTTTGAAATACTCAAAGAAATTCGAAATTAATAGTGCACACACACACTCAAAACACAACAACACAACACACACAGTGCCCCATACATGGCAGTCAAAATGCTGCCCAGTAACAGTTCCGGTCTCCTGGCAACCGATCTGCAACTGTTTCACAATGAGAAATTCCTTTTGAATCTGACCCAAGTGCTGAACATCTCAGCGGATAACCTGACCAGCTTGCTGCAGGGTCTGGAAACGGAGGAACTGCTACCCACTGTGACCCCGATGACCCCACTTTCTCTGCTGGCCACCCTCAGCGTGGGCTATGCCCTCATCTTTATCGCCGGTGTTCTAGGCAACCTCATCACCTGCATCGTCATTTCGCGGAACAACTTCATGCACACGGCCACCAACTTCTACCTTTTTAACTTGGCCATATCGGATATGATCTTGTTATGCTCAGGTGAGTAGAAATTGATAGGATTTTCATGTTTCTGGCTTAACACGTTTAATCAGTTTAATATCGAAAATATCTAAATAAAAACTGAAACATATTAAATATTAATTTCGAAATTATGTTGATGCTAAACTAGAAAGTGGAATGTGGTATTCAGCAGATGGTCAAATCGATACGTATTTTGATGCTTATCAGGTTTCCTTTTTGAATTTTGGATATATTTTTAATAGAGAAGAAATACAATTATCATTGAATATATAATTAATAATATAATAACTAACTCTGTTTTAAATTAAATGCTATTCTTATAAACTTAAATGTAGTTTCTTTATCAGAAAACTGAATGCCATATATAGCCTGAAGCTTGTTAGTATTTAAAATAATTAACAAAACATTCTTAAAGAGCTTTAGATTTTCTTTATAAACATTTCTTAAAAATTTGCGCATAAATATTTAGAAAGCTTCTTTGTTATGGTTAATGTTTACAAGCTTAAACCATTACAAAGAAGCTTTCTAAATATTTATGCGCACATTTTTTCTTGAATTATTCATAAATTCCTGGAATTATTTTGGTTTATCTTCTTAAGGAATGCCCCAGGACTTGTACAATCTCTGGCATCCGGACAATTATCCCTTCAGCGACAGCATTTGCATATTGGAGAGTGTTCTCTCGGAAACGGCTGCCAATGCGACTGTCCTGACTATCACAGCTTTTACCGTGGAACGATATATTGCCATTTGTCATCCGTTCAGGTGAGGAAACATCATCCCCCCACTGACCCATTTTCAATTTCTCCCGAAACTTTGGCTAATTGGTTATGCTTTCGATACAGGCAGCACACGATGTCCAAGTTGTCACGGGCCGTAAAGTTCATATTTGCCATCTGGATAGCCGCCCTTCTACTGGCCCTGCCACAAGCCATCCAGTTCTCCGTGGTGATGCAGGGCATGGGATCATCGTGTACGGTGCGTATGATTGATGGGTGGCCTTTAATCGCTCGCCCAGTTACGAAGCAACCTGGGTAATTGAGTTACTGACCCTTTGAGGCATTAGGTGTTGGCCAAATAAGTTATACTGTTGAAACATCTGTGATTAGAGAGAGATATGCATCTACTGAATAAAGTAAAGTAAAAATTCGACTTAATTTGCTAACCTTATACCATAAAGTTAAGCTAATCACCTCAATGAATCAATGCAATTATGGTTTATTTTCTTTTAGTTATGTAAATGCTTCTAGTCAAATTCTGCACATAACTTTCATCAGCTTTACTATTATTGTTGTTGAAAATTTCACAGATTAAGTTACTGACATCAGGCAATGTGAAACTTTAAAGATGAGTTAAACAATGCAGGCTTAAATAAAAAGTTTAACTTTAAAGCATTTAGGATTTCCCAAGAGTTTTCCCCTAGAATCAACTTGAGTTTTATAAATTTACAACCACCGTTTTGATCAATCAGTGACAATCTTTTATGATGGCTGACTCAATTCAGGGTAATCAAATTTACAGCCTTGGCCTTCCGGCTGTGGCTGTAAGCCAAAACCATATCGCTTCACTCGGTTATGGTTATACGTACTCACATATTTTTATTTTGTGAAATGTCTACTGCAGATGAAAAACGACTTTTTTGCCCATGTGTTTGCTGTGTCGGGCTTCCTGTTCTTCGGCGGACCCATGACGGCCATCTGCGTGCTCTACGTCCTTATAGGGGTGAAGCTGAAGAGGAGTCGACTCCTGCAGGCACTTCCCAGGCGATGTTACGATGTGAACCGTGGGATAAGCGCTCAAACTCGGGTCATCCGGATGCTGGGTAAGCAGGATATGAAATATCCGAAATAACTCATGGTTGCATCACACACATTTCCCAGTGGCTGTGGCCGTGGCATTCTTCATCTGCTGGGCTCCCTTTCACGCCCAGCGCCTGATGGCGGTCTATGGCTCCTCCTCGGGCATTGAGTCCCAATGGTTCAACGACGTGTTCAGCATCCTTGACTACACGTCCGGCGTTCTCTATTTCCTTTCAACGTGTATAAACCCGCTGCTCTACAACATCATGAGCCACAAGTTTCGTGAGGCATTCAAGGTGAGTTTTTTTTCCCACTAAAAATTAATTTCTTTGTCTCTATTTAAGGCTTAAGATCTTAGTCTTAAGAATGGTTATTATGTTTTTGTACGGTTTTTTAAACTTCCTTAAAACTCTTTTAGGTAACCTTGGCTAGACACTTTGGTTTGGGTGGCAAGAATCAGGGAAGAGGGCTGCCCCACACCTACAGTGCTCTGAGACGTAATCAGACGGGTTCGTTGCGGTTGCATACGACGGTAAGTGTACTAAGAAGTGCGAATTTTTATTCCCTATACTACATTTAACCATTAGAATACAAATCTTAAACAAAGACTTTTAAATATTTCTTCTAATATTATCTCTTTTAAGACAAAAACACTTTCCCATTCTGATTATCCTTACACCCACAGGACAGCGTTAGGACCACCATGACTTCCACGGCTACGACCACCACCGGACTAAATGGCTGTGCCAATGGCAATGGGACGACTGCAGGTCAGTCGGTGCGATTGAACCGTGTATCCTTGGACAGCTCACAGATGCAGGGTCAGAATAGAAGCCGGGTGGACCACTTCGATAACCCGCGACGCACGCTCCAGACGCAAATATCTCAGCTGTCATCAGTGGGCGATGCCCATTCCCTTCTAGAGGAGGATTTGCAATTTCCCGGAGAGCCATTGCAGCGACAACCGACCATGTGCTCCATTGATGAGCTCACCGATGACTTGGCCATCTCGCGGTCACGCCTCAAACTGACGCGCATCACCCGCCCACTGGGCGTGGGTAGTGTTGCGGTGGGCGTGTCAGGGGGCAGTGCAGGGACGGGGGGCGTGAGCAATGACGAGTCGAGTGGCAAAGTGCGCAAGGCGAAAGTGAAAACACTGAAGAGCTCAAGCGCTCTCAAGGGTCTCAGGGCCAAATTCAATTGGCGTGCCAGACGCAAAGGCAGCCACAAACCGCAAGGCAAAGGGGCGACGGGGGCTAACGACGATTCAGGCGAGCGGTCTGCCTTTTAAGGGGGGTTTAAGGGGGGAGTCCCGGAGTCCATTCCAGTGCCACCTACAGACATTACACACCCACACACACACACACACACAACTGTGATATGAGCAGCAAGCGCCTCTCCAGCTTGTTTGTGTTTTACTTTAGACAAATATTCCAAGTTGGGGTCAATTATCTTTGTTGCCCTTGCCAATAATATAGCCCAAAGCTATAGTTTGAATTCTAGTTATAGTCATATATATAAATGTAATCGAATCGCGTTGGACCGTAATAAATATGTAGTTTATTGTCAGTTAAAAATGTTAAATGGCGTTTTATTGATGAAATTTGAAAAATAAAAGTTATTAAAAATATTCAATACATAATACTTTATCAGTCAGATAGCTATATTAACATGAAATTGGCAGATTATTTTTTTTTGAATTTGACATTAATCACTACTTAGAAGGCTGTAAAATATAATCTATGTATTTGATACTCCGTACATACATACATCATTTTAAAAGACATATATTAAAGGGGGATTACTGAGACTAGAGTTCAACGGGCGACTGCCTAATGACTTTCAGTGAAACGCAGTCATAGACCGAATCGCACTGCATCAAAATCCCGGGCCATTAAGATCCTTATCTGGCGCGCAAATTCGCTTTTCAGTCTGGAGTCTAGACGATGGATGCTAAAAACCAAAACTCGCGATTTGGCCAATATTCACTAGAAACCGCAGAGCTGGTGTGACAGTGTGTTTGTGACTAATTACCATGCCATAAGAGAGTGTCCCAGCGCGTTTAGTTTTAATTTCAGCGTAATGCAATTAGTCAAGCAAACAGGGCACACTTTGCATATGTGCAGCCAGAAATAAATGGCTTTTAATTCATAAAGTGCAAAAGCATATGTTGCCAAGATGTGGCCTGCCATGAATAACTGAAACCACTGAAACTTTCCTTAATTTGTCCAAAAACTTTTAGAATTAATGTTCATTTTCGGTTGCACTTAGGTAAGCACAAATTGGGGCTTAGTTCACAATTAACTGGCAGAAAGGAGCTTATGCAATAAAATATCGTTAGCTTAGGGCTTAGGTCCAAAAAATACAGACCACTAATTGGCTGCTCTTCCCTTGAATGCTTTCAAAATCTGCATTCTGTACTTCTTCTATCCATTTTCATGCACTGCGTTGCTAGAAATTCTCTGAAAAAAAAAAAAGTCAGTAAAACGCTGGAATAGTTTTCTAAAAACATAAAACCAATGAAACATCAGTGTTACATATAAATTCTTGTTAAAATGCTTCAGTTAAAATCGAATCAGTGAAGAAATCATAAAAGCGTGAAACATTTTAAATAAACGTGAACCTAACAGAAACTTGAATACATTTGAATAGGGGAGAACCTTTTATTGATTAAAGTGAAATAAAAATATTTCCAGAACATTGTAAAGTATAAAATTCTTTACAATTATTTATACAAAACGGAACTACGATATTAATACCTTAACTTAATAAATATTGATATTTTAAAAAGCAGAACTAAATGTTTACTCTGGTCGATTTCTTGTCTGCGAAATTGATAGTCAGACAAATTTGCTTAATGTTCTTCTCGTGATATTTAGACAATATTGTCAACTCCCTAATTCCCAGATACAAGATGCTAATCCGTAACACACGCCCAGCCGATCCACTTTTTATGGCCGGCGACCGAAACGACTTTCTGCGTCTGTTTGTCTGGGTCGGGACCCTTTTCCAACCATTGGATGGCCCACCATCATTTATGCGACATAAAAGTCAAAGGCTGTCAAATAGTTTCGATGAACTTCATCATTTTTATGCGCACAACAAAAAAAAGGATGGATAGAAACAAAAACTCGTAGATAACCATTATTTTGCCAGCCACACAATAAATTTGAGTGGGTTTCATTTTGTGCAAATTTACTATCACTTGTCTCGATGGATAGTAGTCTGAAAGCAATTGAAGCATTCAATTTACGGGTACGTTTTTGGCCAAAAAGCCTTTCTCTGCTGCCCACATTTTAAATTCCCCCGATGTGCCTTTGTTCACGCATATCACGCATACGCAGTGTGTGCCGCACTCAGGCACTGCGACCGTCATAACGCATAAATATGAAATAAATAAGCAATACTGCGGAGAGGCAATGGCGATGGGACAGCAAAATAAAGCCAAGCCGATCCCACTGACTGTGCAATAAACTCTCAATTTCATTTATATGTATGAGCCATGTTAGCAATTCAAATGGACGATGTGCCAGATTCACTAAGCTATAGTGAAGCCTCTATATGCTCTATATGCTCTCCTGACACACACATACTCATATATGTGAGGTGGGCGTGCCGAAGCAATTAAGCCGTGAAATACTGTTGCCTACTTTCCGCGGCCATCGATTTACGCGTCCCTCTGAATCATTGGAAAAATTGAATGGAATTTATAAGCTGCAAAATCGAGAGAGCCCCAAGCACTTAAACCCCACTGATTGCTTTGCATAACACTCTATTAATTAGGAGCCTGCCAGCCAAGCCGGGCGCACATGTTGCAATTAAGTGAGTGCGTGGATATACGTACATATGTACGAGTATCTTTAATAGGTCCAAACAAGTGAAACAACTGAAAAACCACGCCATCTGTCTAGGGTGAGTCTTAATTATTAATCTAAGAAATTAATATGTAAAGAATTTAGTTTAAATATGTTGTTATCGATTCAATTAAATAACCTATTTTTCTGTGAAAACAAAGATACTTCTTAAAACAAAATATATATTATATTTTTAAAACTTTGCTTGTGCAAACTAACCCTTAAAACCTTAAAAGCAAATATATATGCAACATATGAAATATTTAATTGGCTCTAAAAGTTTATTTTTAGGTTCACCCTAATCCACTTGCTTGTGGAACTCCAAAACATATCGGGCAGTGCGTTTGGCACTTCACTGATACCGACCTTGTTCATCCTGTATCGAATCCCCTTGATATAGACAAGATGCCTGTGTTGGCGGATCCACTTGGCACGTACAGATTAATGCTTCCATTTGGGAATTCAGCTAAGGATATGTTGGCATATGACTAGGATGTGATATGTTTGACTTTTCGCCTTGGCTGTCTGCCTCAACTTCGTGTATTTACTCAGTACAATCCGTAACCAACGTTTTCATCCTTTAACGCTGGCTAACTGGATCTGATTTCTTGGCTTGTGGGTGTTGTCGCTGCGATGGAAATGGCATTGTTTTGCTCATTTTGCACGTAGTTACTCCTTGTGGGAGTGTACTCATAAAAGTGAATTTGATAGGATCTGACGGGATAGGAAGGAGCTCAATATGGTTGGATTGCCTAAGTACCAGCTAAACTGCAATTCAATCGCTGACTCGTCTATTTCCCCCAAACGTCCTTATTGCTAAGACACTTTTCTTCTTCCGAAAAAATAGAAACCAAGAAAATTTATATGAATTGGAGAATCAAGCTGCCAAGGGGATGATATAATCAGCATTATGGATAAAACAAATATACATATTAAATAAAACAAATTATTTTTAGAAGAAAATTCATTCAATAAATATACCTTAACAATGCCTAAGCAATAACAAATGATTTTATTTGCGTTTATAAACTCCCTTTCATTTACAAATTTATAGCCACTCCCTGAAAACCCAATTCAGAGCAACAAAAATTATACAATATCAATACGGATCGATTTCAAAACTAGTTTTCCGATAAAATCAGGCATTCGTTAAAATACATTCTTAAAAGCTTACGATGTTGAACAGCAGACTCTTGAGTTAAGTAAATAATTCTTAACAAAAAGGCAAAAACAGCTCATCAAATGGCACAAGCTATAGCTTATTCATATATACACTTTTTTATTTGAATTTAATATATTCCTTACACTTTTTTTGAGGCGTGCGACCCTGCCGGCAAATCAAAAAGTTCAAATTCGAGAGGGGTAAAAATAGATGACAGTGGCCATAATTATGATGCATGACACATAAACAAGGGACTTAAGGTCTAAAAACTGTCAGCCAATGCATTTATTATGGCACGATTAATTTTTTGCCTCAGACTTACATAAATATAAAATATTCGGGTATCGAATTCTAAGAAGAATTCGGCTCAAATCCATTGACCAATCGCGCCGCAAAAGCCAAGGGCAAGTCTACGATTCTGGTTTATCTCCGGCTGCCATCAATGATTTTTTTTTGCCAAATATTAATCAGAACGCCGAATGATTTCGCCGGCAACCGGTTACTCCAAAGCCTGCATATATTTAGTAGTTGATATGATAATCATTTCTTGATCAGTTCGGCTAATTAAACAAGCAATGAATGCAATATAATAGAAATAATACGAAAATAGAGGAATAAAGCATATTTTAGTTTTTGCCAAAGTAAACTTTCATGAACCAAAGACTATTTCAGTTGGTTTACTGACTTATATTTATATAAATATTCCATTGATTAAACAAAAAATCGATGAAAAGGGAATTTTTGTAATTTAAATCTTTCATCTTTTTCTCAGAATTTAAGATCACTGAAATCAACAAGCCATTTTAAGCCTTCAACTTATAGAGCTTAAAAGGATATTAAACGGAGGAATCAAATGGAAAATCAAAGGCAAAGACTTGGCCATGACGTGGGGCCATAAATGCAGTCGGATTCCGGATTTTAATGCTGGCTACCAAAACAAGACCGCAAATTTATGACTGGCTGTTAAAAAAAAATCGTCTAGCACAAAGAAATTATTGAATCGAATGGCGGCATAACAATCCTAATTAATTGTAAACAAGCCATGAAAAACATCAGGTCATAGCACACTTGCAGCTCATTTATATGGCACATCGGTGGGTGAATGGGCGGTGGGTGGTACTTTATGGGTGGTGGTGCTGCTTCTGTTGCTCATTGTTATCCCTTCGCTGCAACATCACACGATGTTCTGTGAATGTATGCGTGAGAGCAAAGAGTGACGGCTTCGTCGACGGTTTCCATTTGTACGCTATACAATAATATTTTGATTGACTTTTCCCTCCCCACACAAACGGGGGCATGGGGCAGAGCAACAAAGTGGCATTTGATTTACGC